TTCAAAATATCACCTCTTGAGTTCTTTTCATTTGAGATCTAACTTATCAAAACCAGAAGACTTAATAATTTCACCAGTGGGACCAGCAGTTAGTGTAATGGCTATGTCGCTGAACTCCCATGTAGCCGACCGCGGTTCGAGTCTCGGGCCTGGTGGCTTAGACTCACACCAGGTGCATGTGTGTGTGTGCCCAAGATCCCGAGAGGAGAATGGAGGAGAAGGGATTGTGGCGTGGCCATCCCCCCCCCAGGGGGGGTGATTTCTTAATTTTTATCTTTCTGTCTCTCTCTTTCCGGTGAGTGCAGGTGCCCTATAACAAAAACCTCTCCAAAAAAAAAAAAATAAATAAATATCTGCAGTTAGGATGGTATTTTTCAAAGTGGGATCCAAAAACTAGCTGCATTAAAACTGGCTGAGATGTTTACCAAAAAGCAGATTTGATTCCTGGATATCACTCCAGATCAATTAAATTAACTGATGAGGCTCAGGAAACTACATTTTTAATAAGCTCCCCGAGTGGTTCTTCCATATTAACATTTTAAAACCCCCATAAACTATATTCTCACAGCATCTGCACTCGTGGACCTTTAATTCCTCAATATTGTTCCTTCAGTTTGAAGCCCATTACTCTTGGAATAGCCTGGCAAAGACAATGAAACCAGGTTTTAGAGTTAGAGACTTGGATTCAAATCTGGTTCTATTGGGAAAAGCAGTTGGCATAATGGCTATGTCGCTGGACTCCCACAGAGTTGACTGTGGTTCAAGTCCCAGACCCGGTGGCTTAAACTCATCGGGTGTGTGTGTGTGTGTGTGTGTGTGTTTGCACGCCCCCAAGATCCCAAGAGTAGAGTAGAGGAGAAGGGATTGTGGCCATCCCCCCTGGGGGGTGATTTCTAGCTTCTTGTCTCTCTGTCAAGTGCACACGCCTATGGCAAAAACCTCTAAAAAAAAAATCTGGTTCTATTACTTGCTATCTAGGTGACCCTGGACAAGTTATGTAATTTTCTCCAGGCCTCAGATTCTTCACAGATAACATGTAGGTAAGAATATCTTCATAGAGCTGTTGCAATTTAGCAGGAGGGTCAGAACCATGAGAAAGGCAGGCTATCATTCTTCAGAACATATACTGAGGCCTACATACCATTCATACCAAGATGAATAAAATATGATGGGGCACCGTGCTGCATGCCATGTATACCAAGATGGATGGAAAAAGGTCTATCTCAATAATGTGCTGGGTTTTTTTGTACCTGTCCCTTTGTGATTAAGCCCTGAATTATTTTTTGAGCTTTTTTAAACCCTTGTGCTGTCTTCTGTTAACCGACATCCACAAAATAATGCAGATTCCCCGTCCCCTTGGACTGTTTGAAGCTGCTTTACTACTATATGCTAACGTATATAGAATATAGGTCACTACACTACTAAACCTCTAGCATGGCATCAAGCTGAATCTTCTCCAGCCTTCTCTTTTTTTTATTTGCCAAAGGGTGTGTGTGCTTGTCAGAGACAGAAAGACAGAGGAGGAGGGAAAAAGCACCAGCCACAGGGAATGTCACACCAATCCCTTTCCCTCTCTCTCTCCTGCCTTTCAGGATTTTGGTCAAGTACCTCATGACTGACCATGCAGGATCCAGCTCCCTTAATCACCATGCGCTGGCTCTTGTTTTCATAAAGTATTTTTGTTAGAGATAATTTATTTTACTCATGATAGAGTGCATGTATGAGAGCAAAGGAACAGGAGAATGCCAAGCAGCCTCCACAGAGGTTCATCACGCTGTCATCCCTTCTTCCCCCAAGCCCTGTAGCTCATCAGGATCTTGGGCACGTGGACACACCCAGCTGTCTCAGATCCAATGAGCCAGGGATCCAAATCCACGATGGGCCCTGTGGCTTCCACAATTCAGTTCAGTATAGTACCACTTCTGCTATGGAGCCTGGGCCTCCAACCTTCTGTCTCACCAATCCGCTATTTCAGTTAAGACCATGTCATGTCCTCTAATGTTACAGCGCCTGGGATCAAATGCTGGTTCTACTGCTTATTACATGGCTTGGCACAAAGACTTAGACTCTCTGTGCCTCAGTTTTTTCAACTGTCAAGTAACAGTGGCTACTTTATGAGGACTTTATGAGTATTAGCTGATACTTAGTAAGCACTCAGTGAGTGTTAGTTATTCTCATTGTCACAATGAATCCCCATGGGGAGCTGCTTCCTGTCAATTTCCTGAAGATTCTAATTCCTCCTCACTTCAGGATCTCTTTGCCTGGAATGCTTTCCACCTCTTCTTATAGAGCCAATTTCTACCCATTCTTAAAGATTCAGCTTCTGAGGCTTCCTGATCCACAACCTCTTCCCCTCATTGCTTAACAAAGTAGGTTAAGAATGCTTGTCAAACACCCTCATGCACTCCTTTGCAGTATATTATCATAATTCTATGTTTGTTTACTCCATAAAGATAAGGAGTATGTCTATCTTATATTGCTCTGTATCCACCCTGGTACTTAGCACAATTCTTAGTCCATAGCAGTACTCAAAATATTTTGAGTATTTGATGAATGATTTCCCTTATCTGACTATGCCCAATCTTGTCCAATCTTTCTCTTTAGGGATCTTAACAACCTCTAAAAGGAAGTTACTTTCCTATACCCAGGAGTTGGGTGCTTCCATCTTTGCCTTCTAATAAAATATTCAAAAATGCAAATCAAGAACTTAATGAATGTTTAACTTTTAACTGAATGAGACTCCCAGGAGTTTATATCTTAGCTCAAAATTACTTTAGGTCTGCACTGTTCAATGGGATAGACATTACCACACAGAGCTATTGAGCACCTGAAATGTTGCTAGTCTAAAATGAGATGTGTTGTGTGTAAAGTACAACATTGATTTTAAAGACTTAGTACAAAAAACAGGTTAAAAATTTCATAATTGAAAATATTTAGTACATATTGAAATAACTTGGAAATACTAAATAAATCATTAGAATTCATATCACCTATTTCTTTTTACTTTTTAATGTAGGTTATTGGAAAATTTAATACCACATATGTGGCATCCATTAGCTTGTTACAGGACGGTGCTGTTCTATACTATTTATTTATTTGAGAGATTTTTGCTATAGGGTGTATGTGCTTGCTGGAGAGACAGACAGAAAGTGAGAAATCACTCTTCATGGCAGGGGATGGCCATGCCATAACCCCTCTCCTCCATCCTCCTCTTGAAATTTTTGGCACAAATCAGCAAGTGCACAGTTGGCCATGTGAGAATCCAGTGCCTTAACCACTATGCCACCTGCTGGCCCCTGTTTTAGACTATTTAGAAGGTTATGCTGTATTTTCCCATGACATCCTCCACTTCTTTTCATTTTTAACCATAGGGAAATATACTCTAAATTGTTTGATGATGTTTCTCAATATTGCTATTTTCAATGCATGGGCTATCCTACTACCCCTGTGAACATATCTGAACACATCTGATTCTTTTTAATAGGGCACAGTTTCAACCCAACCATACACAATGTTGCATTTCATCACACCAAATCCCAATGTACTGGAGATTTTAAACTACAAGTACTATGACTAAGAACATCAGGTCTGGAGCCAGATCTGTTTTGAAGAGCTGGGGCTAACTACTAGCTGTGTAGCTTTGTTTCTCCAAATGTCTTTATGCCTCAGTTTCCCTGACTGAAAAATATTAGTGTCCACTTCATATGACTAAGAGGATCAATTAATATCAGTAAAGTGCTTACAATGGTAGCTGGCATGCAGAAAGCATTCAATAAATATTTACTACTTGTATTACTATATACGTCCCTCACCCTTCCCACCTACTGGAATATTCTCTTGTCATTACTAGTTACCTCTCCTAGTGCTGTTCTATCCGAATCTGAGGGGTTTTGTTTGTGTGTTTGTTTTCAGGTTTCTGCAGTGTGCACTCACTGGAGAGAGACAAAGATAGGGAAAGTGAAAAGTCATCCACCAGGAGAGATGGCCACCCATCTCCATCCTCTTGAGATGTTGGGCATGCATGCACACTTGAACCACCAGGTCCAGGACTCAAACCACAGTCTGCCACGTGGGAGTCCAGAGCCTTAACCATCATACTATCTTCTGGTTCCCAAACCTGAGATTTTTTTTAATACTCAGATCTAACTCCAAATCTCAGCTACTCCCTGAGTAGCAAGGGGGTAAGTTCCTCTCACTTTTCTTCTCTGCAAGTGGGAATGGATGTTGCCACTTTCCTTGCTCAAGTCTGAAGGACACAGCGTATTACTATATAAAGGTCCCTGCATGGTCCTTAGCATCTTGCCTTTTGATTTAATAGGCAAGGTCTTCAAAAAGTTTGTGGAGAATGTACATTATGCAAAAATTATACATGCAACTCAAAAGATTTCTGAACCAAAATAAACTCATATTTTGATTCCATTTTCCAGGAACTCTTTCAAGTTTCTTCGTACATGTGATCCTCACAGGACACTACACGGTTGGTATTTTATAGATAGGAGGAGGCAGGATGGGGGAACCTCAGACTTGCCCACGGTAGTACAGATACCAAAACAGCAGCGCCAATACTGGGTCTTACTCCGAGTCAAGTGTGTTTTCACGAAAACAAAGCTGCTTTTCCAAAAGCATGACCGCTAGAGCTAAATTAATTCATGTTTATGGAATTCCAATGTTTGAAGAAATGCAGAAACCGGCACGGTAAGTCTACTGCCGTGTTGCCCACCGAAACTGCAACAGAAAATCCCAATACAGGTTCTGTTAATACTCTTCTCATTTTATCAGTCAGCGACGCAAATAAAATTCCAGTGAGCAAAACAAAGCGAATACGGTATTTTCTCCTCTAGCCCCCGAGGAAACTGCAGACGGCGGACAGGAGGTTCGACTGTCGGGCCTTGGGGCTACGCGCGGCCGCCCCCAGGCCCGAAGGAGGCCAACGCCACGCCTGCCCGCCGGACCCTCCCCTCGAACCTCGGGCCCCAGCTCTGCACCCGCCCGCCCCTCACCTCCGGCTCCGGGGGCTCCGAGGCCATCTCACAGCCCTCCCGCGCCGGCCCGGGCCAGTGAGGATGTTCCACTCTTGACCCCTGACCTGGCTATCTCAGCAGCCAGCAGGAACCGGAAGTAAGTGAGAATCCCGAGTTCTGCTTTCTGATTGGTGGAGAGACCTCTCCGAGGCTGCCTAGGAAACCGGAAGGGGCGTGGTTGAAGCTTCGGCGGCCTCCGCGATGCAGGTGAGTACGGAGTTGGGCCTCTTGCTAGTTGCTGGGTTGGGTAACCCGTTTGAGAGTGGGCTGGAGGGGACAGTAAGAAGTGGGGACCGAGAGGAGAGACCGGAGCTCCCCGCTGATAAGGGAGTGCGTGACGGGGGCGGGCCCGCTGGAGAGAACCGGCAGATACGAGGCGGGGTGGAACCCGGCTGGTTGGGAGACAGACCCGGCCAGACCCAGAGGGACGAGACAGCCCCGACTTGTATTGGTGTGGAAAAACTGAGATGCAGTCGGAGGAATAAAGTAATGGGTTGGTTCAGGCCCGGTTCTACGCTGTTGGATCCGGACCTAACAGGATCCGTAATTGGAGAGGAGCCCGAGGGATGAAGGAATTGTGGGTCGCGGTAGCCAAACGCTTACGGTGTCTGTAATCTGAAGCAGTAGGGTAACCCAGGATCAGGTTCCAATCGGGCATATTGGCAAATTTGCAAGACGGTTTATATCACTTACCACCCTGTGCCTGATCGTCGTTACGAGTAAAGAAATGAAGTAAAACAGGAGGCCACAGATGGGAAGGAAACGTTTACAAACCCTCTAGCGTTTAAAATTGTTTTAGTGCCGGGGCTAGCAGCTGGCATAATGACCGTGTGACTGGACTGCCATGTAGTGTGGACCATGGTTTGAGTCCCGGCTTAAACTCAGGTCGGGCACGTGTGCGTGCGTGTCCAAGCGTGTGTGTGCATGTCCAAGATCCCGAGAAGGGATTGCAGCATGGCCATCTCCCTTGGGGGGTGATTTCTTGCTTTCTGTATCTGTCTTTCTGGCCAGCACACTCGCCCTATAGCAAAAACCTCTCCAAAGGGAAAAAATGTTTTAGTGTTTAAGACCATGTATGGTGTCTTGGGTTTTGTTTTTGTTTTGTTTTGTTTGTTTGTTTTCTCTTTCTCTCTCTCTTTTTTTTTTTTTTTTTTTTTTTTTGATATTTTTTCGGGGTGTGAGGGGCGCGTGAGCTTGCCAGAAAGACAGAGAGTTTAAGCCACTGGGTCTGGGACTTGAGCCATGGTCGACTACGTGGCAGTCGGGCGACATAGCCATCACGCTAACTGCAGGTCCCATTTGTTTGTTTTTTTTTTCTCCCCACTCATTAATTTCTTGCACCTGGTGGTCCCTCAGTAAATGTTTATAGGTTGACCGAGCTTGGGAAATAGGTACAGAAATATTGGCACAGAGATAATGGGTTCAAAAGAATTCAGCAAGGAGAAAGTTAAAACATCAAATGCGAGTGAAATGAGTTGATGGGTCATGGGTGGAGGAGCCCAGGGCAAGTCTTCATCCTAGACAGATTTCCCAGAGATGGTGGTGTTGATGGAAACATCTAGGCTCACAAGGTGGTCTCTGGAACAGGGGAAACGAGTACATGTGAGGCAGAGGTGCACATGAGATAACGAACCCCGGGGATTAGAAATTTCTCAAGGAGAACAAGTAGGGTGTACATGATCAGAGAAAAAACAGGCATGGATTAGGAGATGATGAAAGGAATCACTTGGTAGGAAGACTTGAGTTAGGTGAACAGGTTAAAAGGTCTAAGGGTTGGGGCTGGCAGGTGGTGTGGTGAAGGGCCCTGGATTCCCACATGGTGGACTACAGTTTGACTCTTGGACCTGGTGGCTTGCTTTCTGCTTTATCTCTCTTGTTCTCTGTCTTCTGTGGTCAAATTAAAATAAGTAAATAAATAAAGTTAAATAAAATAATTCTCGGGTGTGGTGGTTAAGGTGCTGGACACTCCCACATGGCTAACCACAGTTCGAGTCCTGGACCTGGTGGCTTGCTTTCTCACTTTCATTCTCTCTCTCTTTCTGTCTCTCTGGTCAAGTTAAAAAAATAAATGAATGAATAAATTAATTAATTAATTTAAAAAATAATGAAGAAAATAAAAATAAATTAAGAAAATAAAATAATTTTTTAAAAGAAAAAAGAAAGATCTAAGGGTTAATGCTGTTTGTAACCCAGATACCAGAGATAGAAATCGGCCTGGCTATCCTGTGCCACTGAGATTTGGACTGGTGTTGCACTGACTCCCTGGTTCTTCAGGCTTCCTGTATGTGTCTTACATCCCTCTGGGTTATCAACCTGTTCATTTTGATGCAGAGAGAGGAGAAGCAACTCGAGGCATCATTAGATGCACTGCTGAGTCAAGTAGCTGATCTGAAGAACTCACTGGGGAGTTTCATTTACAAGTTGGAGAACGAGTATGACCGGCTGACCTGGTAAGGGTTTCCATGCTAGCTGGGGAGGGCTCACAGCTTGGGGGAGTGGGCCTCCTGGTAGATAGGAGATTTCCAGTGATGTAAACTTTCATCAGTTTGTGAACACCCTTTGATTTGGAAAGAGCTGAGTTTCCCAACATTTAACAAGTGAAGTTTGGCAAAGGGCCTCCATGGCAAAGAAGTAGAGAGATGCCCAGTTTTCCACCCAGGTTCTTTTTCACTTTTGAGTTTTACCCTTTAACTTCTCTGACGAGGAGGTCTTTCTTCTGTGGGTTCTCTTCATGCAGGATTTCTTGATACACACGTGACTGTGTCTTTCAGAGCCATTCTGCTCTGGAAGTGTGGATCCTGTTTCCATGCTGGAAAGGATCTTTTACCCAGTTTCTGAATTTTTAGTTCTGACTTTGGCCATGGTTCTTATTTTGCCACCATTCCTCATCTCATTCAAACAATGAATCGTCTTTTTTTTTTAAAAAAACCTCTTTGTTAGACACTGAGAATATATCCCTTTGTCCTAACACCAACATTCCTGTTAGCTAGTTTAGTTTCCACCTAAGCTAGTCCTATGGCTTTAGTTTTTGTTTCACGTAGGGAAGGGTTGGAGCTTCTGACATTTTCTTAACAACCTCTAGGCCCTCTGTGCTGGACAGCTTTGCCTTGCTCTCTGGACAGTTGAACACTCTGAATAAGGTCTTGAAACATGAAAAGACACCACTCTTCCGTAACCAGGTTATCATCCCTCTGGTATTGTCCCCAGACCGAGATGAAGATCTCATGGTAAGTGAAGAAAAAGGGTACAACTTGGGAAATCACGTTCTTAGATGAGAGTGTAGAGTACAGTTGTTGATTTGCTGTTCTAGCAGTTGTGAATTCAGAGGAACATGTGGCAGTAAGAAGTAAGGGCTGCGTTTCAGAGGCCTTATTTTCTGTCTTTCTAAAGGTGGCGTAGAATGAATTAGGCATGGATTAGGAGGTGATGAGAGGAACCAATCACTTAGTAGGAAGTGATTCCAAATAGTGCTGTAATAACCTGAGACCCATATCACCAAGGCAAATCTTTCTCCTTCAAAATCTATCCTGAGCAAAAAACTTTTTTTTTTTTAAGTCTTTTATCTACTTGGTTTGGTTAAAATGTGGCAGACTTACCTGTAGGTCTGGTAGAGATTATTAGGGTGTGAGCAGACAGAACTGAAGGAAGAAGTGAAGGGGATGGCTTCCAGGAAACTAAATATTGTGTCTCCAGTTGTGTTTTCCCTGAAAATGCACTGCTTGTTTGTAGAAGGCACTGTGTATCAGTTCAGAAGGAATCTTCTTGGAATGCATGGTAGGCTCATTAAAATCTGTGTTACAGCGGCAGACTGAAGGACGGGTACCTGTTTTCAGCCATGAGGTAGTCCCCAACCATCTGAGAACCAAGCCTGACCCTGAGGTCGAAGAGCAGGAGAAGCAACTGACAACGGACGCTGCCCGCATTGGTGCTGATGCAGCTCAGGTTGGACTGAGGCACTGCCCTGTTGCTCCCACCCTTGTCCCATCATCAGAAGCTGGGCATTGCTATTCCCGTCACGTAGGGATATGTGGTTGTGTACATCTAAGTTACCTCTGAAAGAGCACAAGGAAAAAACTTCTTCAAAATCATTTCCTACTTAGCCTTAGCGCTGCACAAATCTGTGTGTGTTACAGAAGCAGATCCAGAGCTTGAATAAAATGTGCTCAAACCTTCTGGAGAAAATCAGCAAAGAGGAGCGAGAATCAGAGAGTGGAGGTATGGACGGGTTGGTGGCAAAACAGAGGAAGAGGTGTCTAAGGTCACTGGATTGAGTGGCGATTCGTGTAGTAGCAAAGTGCAGACACAAGGCTACTGCGTAAGAAAGCGTTTGCATCCATTCTGTTAGCCTTTTACATTAAGGTCAAATGTGAACCAGGGGGAGGAACTGGGCGAAGTAAGAAGGCTTGGAAGTCCTCTGGTTCTTCCTCTGGGCTGGGAGGAAGTCTAGATGCTGCCAAAGTCAGAACTCCAAAGCCTGGCGCTCCTATTGGTCTGGATGTGAGATTCAATCCGGAGGCATACTTCATAGTCCCCACTTACTTTTTCTTCAGGTCTCCGGCCAAACAAACAGACCTTTAACCCAAATGACACCAATGCCTTGGCGGCAGCTGTTGCCTTTGGGAAGGGGCTGTCTAACTGGAGGTCTTCAGGCAGCAGTGGTCCTGGCCAGCCAGGCCAGCCAGGAGCTGGAACAATCCTTGCGGGAGCCTCAGGTCTACAGCAGGTGCAAATGGCAGGAGCTCCAAGCCAGCAGCAGCCAATGCTCAGTGGGGTGCAAATGGCTCAAGCAGGTCAGCCAGGTAAGGTGGCAGGGGTTGAAATGTAGCTGACCTTGAGCAGAGGAGTGGGGATTGATTGTACTATCTGGACCCTCAGCATTCCCAGACTTAGAGATTTTTCTCCTTTCCTCCTTTGTACTGAGACCCAGAAAACAATTTTCAGAAGTTAAAAAAAAAAAAAAAAAAGCTCACCTGAGACTGTGTAGGTACCAGAAAGTGAGGAAGAAATTCTGAGTTGCTGAAACTGCTCTCGCCTGCCATCCCCATCAGACCTCCACCACAACTGCCCTTCTGCCCCATTCACTCTGGATATTGGGTGTGTGTTGGTGTCTCATCTTAGTAGCAGAAATCAATGGTCAGACCCTAATCAAGACCATTTGGTAAGTACGTCAGGAATTGACAAGTAGGCAAGTTTCCCAGTCCCACATAGGTTCTTTTCTCGGTATGCTGTCCCTTCCGCTCTCTTTTAGTAATTACGAAAACAATCTGAAGTTCAGATTTAAGCAGCTAAAAGGGGTCTTTCTTCCAAACAGTCTAAGAAAAGGGACAATGAAATATAGAGAACATAAGTCATCTCTACGTGTGGCATTAAACAGGGGTCACACAGAGATTAGGCTGTCTTATTTTGTTTTAGAGAGATTTTTGCTATAGGGCATGTATGCTCGCCTGAGAGAGACAGAAAGTGAGAAATCACCCCTCAGGGGGATGGCCACACCACAATCCCTTCTCCTTCATTCTCTCAGGATTTTGGGCACACACACATTCACACCCAGCATGAGTTTTAAGCTACCAGGTCCAGGATTCGAACTACAGTCAACTACGTAGGAGTCCAGCAACATAACCATTACGCCATTTGCTGGTCCCTAGGCTGTCTTTTAGGAGTAAATAAGCAAGAGACTGTTGAGGGGATCAGCAGATGGCATAATGGCTATGTCGCTGGACTCCCATGTAGTTGATTGCGGTTTGAGTCCTGGGCCTGGTGACTTAAACTCGCCAGGTGCATGTGCGTGTGTGCCCAGGATCCCAAGAGGAGAATGGAGGAGACGGGATTGTGGCGTGGCCATCCCCCCTGGGGGGGGGTGGTTTCTCGCTTTCTGTCTCTCTGTCTTTCTGGCGAGCGTACACGCCCTATCCCCCCCCCCCCCCAAAAAAAAAGAATCAGATCTCTGCCCTCTGCCAACCAGGGTCAGATGCCACCACTGTTCCGATGATAAGAAGGGGGCAGAAGGGACCCTGAGAGACCATATTTCCGATATATCGTGAAAGTCTTTCCTTGTTTCAAATGTCTTTCTTCATGTTGCTTTTAGGGAAAATGCCAAGTGGGATAAAAACCAACATCAAGTCGGCTTCAATGCATCCCTATCAGCGGTGAGTGTGGCTGGCAACTTCCACTCCTTGGTGTGATTCACAGATTTGAGCAGTGAAATTCCCATTTGCGCAAGGCTCACCTAGATTGATACAATAAAAAGAACATGACCTTTCAGCAACAGACAAATCCCTGCACCTTTGCTGACTAGCTTTGTGACCCTGGGCGAGTGACCTAATTTTTCTGAGCCTGTTTACTCATTTGTAAATGGTCATAATACCTACCTCATAGGGTTGTTATGAGGATTAAAATGAGAAAATGAATGTAAAGCACTTAGCACAGTGTATGAAATAGTGGGTATTCAATAAATGATAGTTCCGACTCTCTTCTTTCCACCGACCTCCGTAATCCTTGACCTGGAACCTACCCTGATCTGATACCTGCTTCATGTCAGTGGGGAGCTGACAGACACAGAGCAGATAAGCGTATTTTGTACAGTCAAGAGTTGAAACAGCTGCTGTGTCCTTAGAGGCACACTGTCTCTGCAGGCCCTCTTGCCGAGTTCCCATCTGGCTATGCCTCTTAAGCTATAGGTAAAGGGGCTTCTGCATTGGGACAAACTTCCTGCCTACAGCTCAGGACAAAGCTTGGGTCTGCTCTGTTCTCCATCCTCTGAGAAGCCAATTTAACACTTACCGGGAAAATCGTCACAAAGTCCCCTATCCTGTACCCCGCCCTGTGCACGTGAAGGAGGATGCTGAAGAGCCAATATGTTGGGGATGTGGCTAGAAGTCCTGCTAGGCAGGCCTATGTGTGAGTTTCTTTCTTAGTATATGAAAATGCCCCTTGTTCTCCTGGGTTATTTTTCATAATTTGGAGGGAGAGAGGACTTGCACACTATCTTCCAGTGGAGTTGAGTTGTACTTCATCATAGTACCTAGTTCCTGCACTCTGGCCAAGATGGCTTATCCTCCCCTCCACTAAGCCTTTGGTTCAAATAAGAGCCAGGTGGGTGGTGGGAGGGAACAGGGGCCAGTAGCTTTGCCTGCTTTTATAAAGTTGAAGAACAGTGAGTATGGACATTCAGCCCAAATTGCCTTTCTTTACACTCCTTTGTGGGCACGGGCAGGGGTTGAGTCAGCAGAAATGGACCAAAGGATTTCTCTAAATAAAGTGATTTAAGCTGATGTTCACTAGCTCAGGGGTGTCTGGTGGCAATTTATGAGAGCATTATATAGGGGTCAGAGAAGTTTCAGGAGTCTCTGAAATTGCTGCAAGGCAATTCTAATTTGTTCTCCATAAAAAGGTAACTTATCTTTAATTGGTTTCATCTGTACCTCCTGACACTTGCCTCATGCCCATACCGTTCAGCTATCCTTTTTCTGTTCTCTTCTGTCACGTGCTTGTATCTCGGCATTTGTTCAGTGCCAGACAGAATTCTGCCAGGCTGTGGCAGCACAGGACTGGAAAAGTGGCCCCAGATGTGCCATCTGTTCCTGTTCCGTGAAGACAAGGAGTGGCATCCACTAAACTCACTGACCTCAGTACACAGCAGGGGAGTCATGCCATCAGTGCTGTGGCAATGCCAGACCTTTTACCTGTTCAGTCTGGCCTGTTACCCACTCACATGTTCTTTATCTTCTTCCCACCCATTGGAAATGTCACGGCCAACTGGCATATTAAAGAGATTTCAGGCTGAATTTCTCTAAAACTCCTGGAGTGTCTTTGGTAACTGCTGTCTTTTACTCCACTCAGAGAGCCCTTCCTATTGAATGGCACCAACCCAAGTTTATTTTGTTATCCCAGGCTGATACCGACTTCATTCTCACTGTACTTTTGAAATAGAGTTCTTTTCCTCAATGGGAATGCCTTCCTACCTCAACAGAAATGGCAGCACCTCGCCTACATCTTGTTCCCTTATACAAACTCCTTACTCTGGAGGCCTCCCACCTTGATAGCTCTTTGGGAACACATGCTCTCATTTCTTCCTCTTCCCCTTCTAGAGCACACAGAGCTCTAGTATCTCCCACTTTGGGGGCTGTCTGACCCAGTAGACACCTCATGGGGCATATGTGTCTCCCACCCCAACACACTCATTTTTTTTTCAGGAGGCACTGTGCGTGGACTTTGCTTTGGAGAAGAGGGCATGACCTGCTTGCTTGCTCAGATTCAGGATTTGCCAAGGTGGCTCTCTTGTCCTACTCTGATAGTATTCTTCCTGTTTCTCTTTGTTTTTACATTTCTGCCATAGAAAATGTGCGCTTCATAGAGAGAGGGAAAGTGAGAAAACACGTAAGAATATACATGTGTGTACATGCCCAAAATCCCCAGAGGAGAGTAAAGGAGAAGGGATTGTGGCATGACCAGGGAGGAGTGATGTTTCTCAAGCTGCTGTGTCGGGGACTCAAACTGCTTAGCTGGCCATGTAGGATCCAGCTACCTTAACCACCATGCCACCAGCTGGCCAGAGACACATGTTAATGATGGCAGAGAACAACATAAAAGGAGCCTGGGTCACTGATGGCTCTGGAGCTGCTGTAGCCTGGACTGGCCACTTCTATAGATTTCTTTGTTATTTTAGGTTTTTGCTATAAGGTAGTGCACTTGGCAGAGAGGGAAATTGAGAAATCACCCCCCCTCCCCAGGGGAATGGCCACACCTCAGTCCCTTCTCCTCCAGTCTCCCCTCAGGATTTTGGGCATGTATGCACATACACCCAGTGTGGTTTTCAAGCTGTTGGGTGCAGGGCTCAAACTACTCAGTTTTGCTTAGGGATTGTGTTTTCTTCTACTCTTGAAGCCCCCGGGGAGAGAGATTAGGTGATTGTCTCCAGGTTTGTGTCTAGGATGGAGAAGGAAGCAGCAGTTGTAAAACCTCAGGAGCCCTCTACCATACGGAGTTCATCTGGCTAAGGGTAGAAGATCACTGAGTCAATGGCAGCATAAAGTCCGTTGCCCAGGACCTCTCCCTCTCTAGGTCTGTCCTGAGGCTGGGATTTGGTCATTACCAACCCTTCATTTTGCTCATTGTCCCAGTCACCTTGTTCTCGTCCCCCTCTAGTGTCTATTGCCAGTGTACTCATCTGGTTTACCAGTCCTGTCCCTTTTGGGAAACAGCCAAGATAGGTTGTAACCAAGAGCTCCTTCCAATTCCATAATGGGTCCCAACATTAGAGGTGAACTGGAGGGGGTGTAATTGTCCCCTCCTGTCCTTTGCAGAAAGGAAGAGGCTGAACTCTGCATTGCCAAGGCTGGTCTCTTTCCCGCCCCCTTCTCACCTCCCCCAGGCAGCTGGAAACAACTTCTCCCTTTGTCTAAGCTACTTGTACAGAATAATCCTCCTTATGGACAATGTATTCTCTGTGCCCTGTGGACACAGGAGCCGTGTGAGCTGATCCCAGCACCAGGCAGGACGGAGGCTGAGTCCTTCCAAACGCCCACCCTGGGTCAGCTCCCAATTGCTATCCTGAGGAGCTGCTAAGGGGTGTACATTTTCTTCCATCTGCCTTTTCTCATGTGCTGCAGATTTGGGAAGGTAGCCTATTGAAGTCCAGGAGTAGGGACAGGAGCTGTGAACCCTTCTGTGTCTGGTCCTGAGGGTTCATGGTGCCGACCTATAGAGGCTCAGTGTGACTCTTGCCTGCTGGAATGCCTGGGGCTAACACTTGGATAGGGTTTGCCACCCTATCTTCAGGGCTTTCTGGCTGGAACAGAAGGCAAACACTTAAGCCTGTCTGACAGGACACACAGTACCTATTCTCTTCAACAGTGTTTGTTCCTCAGAACACATTTCCTCTCTTCTTGCTGTTAACTTTGTGCTCTCTTTCTCTTTTTTTTGGAGAGGTTTTTGCTATAGGGCGTGTGCACTCGCTAGACAGAAAGAGACAGAAAGCGAGAAATCACCCCCCAGGGAGGATGGTCACGCTGCAATCCCTTCTCCTCCATTCTCCTCTCAGGATCCTGGGCACACATGCACATGTGCCCGGCGTGAGTTTTAAGCCACCGGGTCCGGGACACGAACCGCGGTCGACTACGTGGGAGTCCAGCGACATAGCCATTACGCTAACTGCAGGTTCCCTCTCTCTCTCTCTCTCTCTCTTTTTTTTAAGAGATTTTTGCAATAGAGCATGTACACTCTCCAGAGAGACAGAGAGACCAAAAGCAAGAAATCACACACACACACACATGCCCAGCGTGAGTTTCAAGCTGCCGGGTCCAGGACTCAAACCACAGTCAGCCATATGGGAGTCCAGCACTATAATCATTATGCCATCTGCTGGTTCCAACTTGCTGCTATTTCATTGTTGAGCTCCCATCTGTCACTGAGGCAGCTCGTGGTTCCTATTGTGGCTTCTTGATGAATCATACGCTCTCAGGATGTCAGCCATCATTTGGACATGACAGCTTCCCCAGGGGCATCAGGGACAAAGCATCTGACCTAGGCCTCAGTTTTTATCACCTGAGTGAGCCCAGGGATCCTGTCTAGCTCTAAAGTCTCTGGCAATGAATCTCGAGCCCATTTGTTGTGGGCATTTTTCAATTTATTTTCTTCACTGCATGCCTGTATTACAGAAAATGGCCAAGGTTTCCCTTGACCAGCCCTCAGATCCCCCAGACTCCTACAGAATGTTCTTAAAGTTCTCTCTCTGTCACCTACAACTTAGTGTACCAACATTCTTCTAGACCTCTACTCCAAAACTTGATTTTTTTTTTTTTTTTTGCTACAGGGCGCGTGCGCTCGCCAGACAGAGAGAGACATAGAGACAGAAAGCAAGAAATCACCCCCCGGGGGGATGGTCACGCCGCAATCCCTTCTCCATTTTCCTCTCGGGATCTTGGGCACACACGCACACGTGCCCGGCGTGAGATTTAAGCCACCGGGTCCGGGACGCGAACCACGGTCGACTACGTGGGAATCCAGTGACATGGCCATTACGCTAACTGCTGGTTCCCCAAAACTTGATTTTTAATGAGTGGATTTTATTTATTATTATTTTGCCATAGGGCACATGTACTTGCCAGAGACAGAAAGTAAGAAACCCTCCCTCCCCCGAAGGGATGGCCATTCTACAGCCCCTTCCTTCTTCATTGTCTTCTCAAGATTTGGGGCACACATGTGCACAGGCCTGGAGTAATCTTCAAGTCACCAGGTCTGGTATTCAAACTGTAGAGTTAGCTACAGTGGGCTCTAGTGCCTTAGCCACCCTGCCACCTGCTGACTCTAATTTTCACTTCGTTCTCTAGTGGGGACTGGTTAGAGGTGGTAAGTTACCACAAAGCTGTGTGAGTTCTGACATGTACGTCTAAAGTCACCTTCCCACTTTCAGACATCTCTCTTTTCCTTGGGCAAATATATGTACCAGAGAGACCCTGGCAGCATAGGCAGAAAATGACATTTTTTCCACATAA